AAATCGGAATATGGCTGCCTGATGAAGTAGGAAAAACGGTCTACGCCGCTCACGTAAAAAATCACTTGCACTGCAGGTTGAAGAACTAGATTCTAGAGGTCGGCTGGCTACCTATGAGATCTAGCGGGGGAACGCAAAGAAGAAGAAGATTAAGAACAAATTATGCTTTAAAGTGGTACTCCAATTTATCACATGTCAACATTTCTGAAATATAATAAGCAATAAATTAAAGGTCAAGAAAAAGTAACTGAATAGAATCAGCCGCCTTATACAAGATAACAAAAGAAGGAGCAGCAATTGCAAGCCAAAAAACTGGATAGAATGCTTTGGGTCACTTTTTTTGTAAATGCACTGTGTATGCACGTGCAAATAGCGCAGTTGTGAGTGATTTGAACTATCTCCTTTCTTAGCTTTTTTACATACCGGCAAATCAAAACTCGGTAATAATAACATACAATTTTATTTTTACAAATCCATTCCCCAAAAAATGTTGGTTAACCTAGCCAATTAAAAAAATTCATTAAATTAAAATAAGTCTTTAGTCTTACAGGGTTTTCGCAAACAAAAAAGTTGTGAAACCACTTTAAGTCAATACGTACAAAAAAAGGCGTAACATGAAAACGTTAAGATAATATTGTGCCGTTTAAAATCCTCAAATCAAGCATTACGTTAACCGTTAAATATGATCCCAAAAAATATTAATTAGGCCTATAGGTCGTTAAGGAAAAAACGACTTTCGGTGGAAACTTTTGATAAAAGTTTTCAAATTATTCTAAAGTTTGACACTGATGATGTATTTCTTTGCTTTAATTGATCATGTTTATATCCCACCATAAAGACGCGTTTCTCGTTGTCTTTGTTTAAAGTAAACGTGTGAATTTTGATGATGGGGATGATCTACTGACGATGGAAAACTTCTTATAATATAATTCACACTCTTGAAAATGTTATTAGTACAGTTACTGTTATCCTCCTGACCAATAGTTCATAAAATACTTGATGGAAGCGAACTGTGTTGAGGATTTTATGCAGACTACAGGTGGTAATTATTAACATATTATTCTGTTAGGAAGCTCTGTTAGCTCTGTTGGTATCAAGCTGGAATACTGTGTGGTTTGCCCTGGTTCGAATCTCTGAGTGGATGTTCTTGAATTCGGATAGTGTTTGTGGAGTTGTCACAGCTCTCAATCCATTTCGTACCATTCTACTGGAGACAGACGTTAAATTCGCATGTCCCGCCTCTTAGATATCTTACCAGTGCTGACAGAGTGGTTGAACCCAAACACTTACACAGCTATCTTTTCGAAACCTCATCTCCTTCCAGGTCTAACACTACTATACAACATACAGATGTCATTACCAGCTTCATCTTCCCTGTAACAAAACATTGTCCATCTCTTTCCTTGGGGTGTTCGGAAACTTAACTCAAATCCAGTCTATAACTATCCATTTTGAAAATCCAAACTCTGATAATGACTGTCCTCTTGACGATATTATTCATCCAGGGATTTCTCATTGTGGTGTCTCACACCTTTGTAAGTCGTGTTTTCCTGATAAAAAACACACATTAAATCTATATATGTCAGATTGGCTTTGGGGTATGTATACTGGTTTCTGCTAGATATAATAAATATAATGGAAAAAGAAAATACATACCGACTACTTTCTAATAGCAAGTCCTGAGACAAACTAATAATGTGCGACGACAGCACGGCATTAAGTAGCTGATGTGAACAAAAACTGTCGATTAACCATACAGCTAGCTGTGCCTGAGGTGATAAATTGAGCTTTCGTTGCATATTGTTTGCTCTGTTTACTTGTTCAAATGATAACTTAGAAAGATTAACTTCAACCTTTTGACACAATAAGTTTGTCTACAAGGCCAAGTGGACTTAAAAATTTGTATTGCAGAGCCCCGACGTTGAGATACTGAGGAAAAAAACTCCAAGCACTCACGCCAGTCGCGCTGCATACTAAGATAACCGAGCAACTGTTGAATAAGCTTAAGATTTACTGCCAATCAATTTCGATGATATGTGTTGTCTTAGACTCCTGGGTCAGACAGATAAAAACTAGTCATCTGCACTTGAAGGCATGTGTTTCATTTTGTGCTATGCGCCCCGTCAACCTTTTCTAGATCTTTT